GAATTAGACTTCTGGTGCACCAGAAAGGAGAAAAGTAGAAATAACTAGGGAATGCAATACCGGTATACCGATGTACCGAATTACCGGTAAACCGCCCGATTTTTACCGGTTATTTATCCCAAAAATATCGGTTTTCGGTTATTTACATAAGCGCTATTTGATACATAATACCTCAAGTTAAATTTCTCGGAACAAATTTATCTTCAAATTCCGTAATCGCATAAACAGCTATATCTTCAAGTGATTATATAAGATAGACAAATATCAAATATTATCTCAACTCGTCATTAAACTGAATATTTATTGCTTTCCAAAGGGCTTCATATCGTGTTACAATAAATAGAATTGGACTGAAGGATTATGATGTTTGTTTTATATTTTGTAAAAGTGTAACGGTTTTTTAAGTGATATTTGCGCCAAAATATTTTATATCATACATCATATATTTTATATCATTACCCCTGCGTAAGCTTTATTTTTTTCTAACTTTATACATAATAATTATGATAATTACTAAATATTTTTGCTTCTTATTACAATTATAAAATATTATTTTTCGAAAACGTTTCGAAATTGGAAATACTATAGAAGAATCACATTGTTTTAAATAACAATACTCAACAATTATGGTAACTTATATTTATCTCGACAAAGTATCCGATCTTAAATTAGTGTAGAATTATTATTTTTTTAAAAATATTGGAGATTATGCTAATTAACACATCGGATACAGACAATACTTTTTATTATAATAATGTAATATGATCTTTTTATGAGTTTTTTGGTCTTTCTTACTCATAAGTTTGTTTTTGGAAAAAGTACTCAATATACTCGATAGTGATGATGAATTAATAAATTTGATATATTTTGTTAAATTATTATTTAAAAAAATAAACTTATTGTTTTATTTTATTGTTTAGTTGAATATAGCTGTAGTTGTATATACATTTTTTAAATATTGTACTAGTAACTTTGAAATTTGTTTACGTTTGTTTAAGATAATAAAAATACCGGTAATTTACCGGTATTTCCGTTTTTAAAATGAAAAATTACCGAAATACCGGTATTGAAATTTTCCATCGGTATTGCATTCCCTAAAAACAACCTTTCTTTTGCAGCAGAAATTACTCTACATCCAATTTAGTTCCAAAAAATCTTCTGATAGCTAAAAGCTCGTATAATTAATAATAAATTAATTAATAATAATTAGTAACAATTACTGATAACTGTTTATCTCGACGGCTTTTAATGTTAGTACACTTCTTATATCAAAAATAAATAAATGTCGTTCAAAAAAAAATTATAAACGCTGATGAAATCATTCTAAGTAACAAAATAAGCAATCAAGAGACAAAAACAAAGCTTGTAAATAATTAACTAATTAATAATCGATTAATATTATTATTATTATTAAATGTTATTTATTATAGATGTGTAAGAAGTTCAAAACTCGGGTATGAATTTTAAATGAAAGTGTAAGACACTTGAAAAAAATAGATAAATTATATGTAGATAAAAAGATTATTAGTAGGTGCGTGGGTCGAAAATTTTACTCAAAAAAATTATTTATTAGTAAATTATTTTTTTGTTAAATGATTTGTTTATAAGGTGGAACTGTGGATTATAAAAAATTGTGGTTTTTGAGTACACAGAGTTGCTGTAGGGTTTTATGATCTTAGATAAATATTATAGATTATTTAAATACGAATATATTTCCCTAATACATCATTCATACTAAACGAGTGGTTTCGGACTTACGTAAGATATTTGAAATTGGCGCTCTTAACGATAAATATGAAGAAATAGCAACTTAGATCGTGATTTATGAGTATACCGAGTTGTTTTAGGTCATCATGATGTTAGACAATATTGTAGATTATTTTATTCTAAACAAATCTCTCTAATACATCTTTTGTATAAATCGAATGGTTTTGGAGTTATACAGTCGACGAAAGAATGCATTTTTTGATACACATAGGATGCAGAAATTTTAGTATGCAATTTTGAGAATACTGAGTTGTTGTAGGGCATCATGATGTTAGACAATATTGTAGTCCATTTAATTTTGAACAAATCTCTCTAATACTCTTTTGTATAAATCGAATGGTTTTGGAGTTATACAAGTTTTTCGAAGAAAATGCATTTTTTGATGCATGTAGGATGCAGAAATTTTAGTATGCAATTTTTGAGAATACTGAGTTGCTGTAGGGCATTATAATGTTCGACAACATTATTAATAATTTCATTGCAAACAAATTCTAAAATACATCATTTATATAAATCGAGTGCTTTTGAAGTTATGTAAGATATTCCAAAGTAAATTAGGGAAACCGTTATAAAATATTATTATAAACTACATATTATTTAATATGTTTTTAATAACAACGTCAATATATTAAAAATATATAATTATTAAAATAACAAACAAAATAGAACAATAAATTATTTTAGTATATTTAATCTAGTAACATTAGTTCTATCATTATCTATTTTTTATAATTATTTATAATATTTCTTCAGACATTGATGATAAATTGTTTATAAATATAAACACAGTTCCATCTTCAAAGAATATATACGTAAATTTGATAAAAATCCTAAATAAATATAATTGATTCATAAAATTTATTTATAAATATTACTAATTTATAAAATATTTAATTTACAAAATATTTATCGAATGTAATTATAATTAAAAAAACGGTTGTTATTTTTAGTTAGTTTATAAATATATATAAAATTTTATTCTATTTATGCTGAATGAATTTATTTTTAATTCGTTAACGTAAAATTATTAATTAAGTAAATCAATCAATAAAAAAATTATAAATCAATATCAAATATATTGAACGTATGTTAAATTCTCTATATATAGAATTAAGAACAAGCTTTATAAAAAATATATTATATATATAAATTTTTAATATTTTCAATTTTGGATGTGGATGAGCAATAACTATTTTGTTTTAATAATTATATATATAATATGAATATATATTAATATAATTATTAATATTATTAAATAAATTTATATCAACGAAAATATATCGAAGAAGAAAACGAGGTAAATTTAAATAAAATATTTAGCAATTTAGATACAATATATATATATATATATATATATATATATATATATATATATTTGTATATTTAGTCTTAATAATTAAGTCCTCATTATCATAAATCGAAATAATCTGATTCTATGTGTTCAAAATAATTCATCAAACTCAAATACTGTTATTATTATTAAAATAAAATATAAATATAAATGAATTTACTGTTAACGAGAAAGCCCTTTGAGATGGAAAAAGGGTTTTAATAGTAATTATTATTAAATAATATTAATATAAGTCAAATAGTATTGTCAAATCGAAGGAATTATTAAAATAAATATTAAAATGTTGAATTTAAATTTATAAAGGGATTTTAATTTATAATTGAATTTCGTAACGTATGATTAATAGATAACTTGTAATTTCTTCTAAAATATATTAATAATTCATATTTTTTATATTAGTACACATATTTAGTAGCAACATACTTGAAATACAAAGTTGTAGTACAAACGGTGCGTCCTGAATAGCTCGTTGAATAGTAAACATTGTGTTTACGAGAGCACTTTACGTACTTTATTCAGTTAGTCGCAAATATTTCACACTTCTTATTAGTAAAGCATATATTTAGTTTTTTTTATATTTAGTACATACATTTAGTAACAACATACTTGAATTACAAAGTTTTTATGCAAACGGTGCGTCCTGAAGAGCTCGTTGAAAAGTAACATTGTGTTTGCAAGAGGACTTTACGTACTTTATTCAGTTAGTCGCAAATATTTCACACTTCTTATTAGTAAAGCATATATTTTAGTATTTTTTATATTTAGTACATACATTTAGTAACAACATACTTGAATTACAAGATTGTAGTACAAACGGTGCGTCCTGAAGAGCTCGTTGAATAGTAACATTGTGTTTACAAGAGCACTTTACGTACTTTATTCAGTTAGTCGCAAATATTTCACACTTCTTATTAATAAAGCATATATTTTAGTATTTTTTATATTTAGTACATACATTTAGTAACAACATACTTGAATTACAAGTTGTAGTACAAACGGTGCGCCCTGAAGAGCTTTTTAAACAGGGACAACTCTATTTTAAATTTTTTTAAGTCTAATGAATAATTTTCCAATTTCCTTGTTTTTCTATAAAATTTCCACTAATTTACGAGTTATTAATCAATATAATCTAATTTATAAATTTACAAAATTTAATGAATTATTTTCCTTTATTAATATTTTCTATGAAACTTTTACTCACAATATTCACTTTAAGTTACATTTTTCATAGTTAATACTAAATAATTTTCCATTATTTATTAGAATTTGTATTTTCCTGTTTTTTCTTTAAGACTTTCATAATAAATTTGTTATAAATTTATATATATATATATATATATATATATATATATATATATATATATATATATATATATACATGTATAAACTTTGTCAAATTTAAATTTCAAACTTGGCGCCTTAAACTTGAAGATAGATGTGAAGTCCTATGACACTTTTACTCACAATATTCACTTAAAGTTACATTTTTCATAGTTAATACTAAATAATTTTCCATTATTTATTAGAATTTGTATTTCGCTTGTTTTTTTAAGACTTTCATAATAAATTTGTTATAAATTTATATATATTTACACATATATAAACTTTGTCAAATTTAAATTTCAAACTTGGCGCCATAAATTTAAACATAGTTGTGAATTGATACGTAGCCAACTTCACATGTTCACACAAAACCACTTCGCGTGAAATGTCAGACATTTTAGGTTAAAGACGCGCATTGAGTCAAATTATGTAAAAAACATTAAATAAACCAAATCTTGTTAAAAATTACCCATCGGTTCCATTAATATATCAAAACTTAATCTTTACCATCCATTATTAATTGTGCACAAGTTAGTTTCACCCAGATTCCATTACCATGATGAATATGAACATGCACGGTATGCCCCAACAAGGCGTGGGGGTCCCAGTAAACCAAATGGGAATGCCAGGAGTCCAAGTCGGTCCTGGAGGAGTCCCTGTAGGACCAGGAGGTGTACCTGTTGGACCTGGAGGTGTGCCTGTTGGTCCTGGAGGTGTCGGGAGTACCTCAAGGTATTATGCAGCAACCTTCTCCTCAACAAATGCAACAGCAACATGCTCTATGCAGCACACAGCAACAACAGCAACAGCAGCAGCAGCAGCAATCTCAATTCCAACTGCCGATAAGCTGGATAATATATCGAAGGTCAAGTCTTTGATTGGACCGAGCTGAGGGAGTCACTTTCGGTAAGATGATAAAGGACTCTTTGATTTAGTATTAGTAAAAAACTTCTTTGTGTCTTTTTTAATTATGAAGTTGATTTTTGTCCTTTGTCTCAGGTTACCTTAAAAACAGCAGCACAAGTCTTACATAAGAATCACCAACTTGACACAGGAATGGTGTAAGTAGTAATGTAATAGTTAAATAAATTTATAAATGTAAATATTTTCAATAAATGATTATTTTATTTTACAGTAAGACCACAGTTGATGATGATACTCGGTTTGATAAATGCATTGAAGACTTTTATTCAAAGTGTGATCAAATCGAACTACATTTGGTAAGTTAATTTAATATATGTATATATATATATTATATATATATATATATATATATATATATACTAGCTGACCTGATAAACATTGTTTGCTAAGTAAGGTATATCTAAACAATTTAGATATTCAAAATATTAATACTTTAAGTGTATAAAGGATGTGTTGTTGAATGCTATATACAATGAGGTATTATAAAAACAATAAACCCCATTAGTTTGTCTATTATTTGTGAAAGTTTTAAACACTTTCTTTATGATATAATCCAATCCAAGTCTTTTTTGGTCTTTTGAATCATTGATTACGTTTCAAGTTTTCAGATTCTTTTTGGATTCTGGATTTGTGTATAATTATAAATACTACTGAGCTGATACAAAAATATTCAAATTTTTGCGAGGAGAGATAGAAAATGAATCAGATATATCTGCTTTGACCTGCTTTTTGAAAAGTTTCAAGTAACATTTGATGAACTAAAGTAAATTTAATAAAAAAAATATATACGTAGAGCAGGGCGAGGCCCGAAGGTCCAATTTGACTTTGAGCAAATATTAATTATATTATAAAAATCAAACCAATTATATCACAACAAATGGCACATTTCAAACGACGAACAATAATCTGACTACGTTCAGTTAAACTGCCAGCTACTTCTACATTGTAGAAATGTACTTTTAATGTCTTTCAAAAATTTGTCATAAGCGCAATACTTGACGTGGATGCTATAGCATTCACGATTTAAATATGATAATGTGACTACGGAAACTTTTAAAGGGCGCCAACTTTTTCCTTTTTCCATAGTTGCGTAAAATAGAAGCGCAATATTTTTCGTGGATGCTATAGATTCATCTAGTATACGACGATTGAAATATATTTCTGTCTAATAAAAGTTTTTTGGGAGCAAACGTGTTAAAATGCAAGATCACTTTTCAGTTGAAACTCCATCAGTTTCAGTTAAAACTCCATTTTCAGTTTTATAGTCTCTAACTTAACGTGGATGCTATAGCATTTATCTAGTATATAACGATCAAAATACGATAATCCGATTACTCAAGCTTTTATTGGGCGCGAACGTGTTAAAATGCAAGATCAGTTTTCACTTGAAACTCCATCTTTTTCATAGTAGTCTAAACTTAACGTGGATATATAGCATTCATCTAGTATATAACGATCGAAATACGATAATCCGATTACTCAAACTTTTATTGGGCGCGAACGTGTTAACGTGCAAGATTATTTTTAAGTTGAAACTGCATCATTTTCCTTAGTCAATAATTTGACGTAGATGCTATAGCATTCATCATTAAAATATGATTTATGATTTAGACCTTTTTACCCTATAGGCGGGGGGGTAACTTGGAACGGCCAGGTGGCAAACAGGTTTAATGTCATATTTTAATTTTAAAAGTATTTTTCAAAAAAAAAATACATTTCACCTAATGAATCACCAAATTTTCAAAGAATAACGTTTATCTTCCGATAGCAAAATCATGAGAATCAAGGTTATAGTTGGTTATACATCTTTACCCTCTACTTTAAATATCGTTGTTAAACAATACTTAGCTTTACTGGTTTTGAACACTTTGGTGGTGGAACTTTTAACCCCGGACTTTCAAATATTACTATTCATTCTTCGATAAATTCTGGGAAATTATAACAGAGAATAAGTTATTCGACAAAAAGTACATATAAATGTAAATGTATGTAATGTTTTTCTTCAGTCCTTGCATTTGCAATATTTCGCATTCTTCATGCATTACGGCTTTTTTGGAAAGATTCGATCGTCTTGGTCGCGTCATTATTAATTAAACTTCACTTCACCTTACATATATAGAACCAAGAACTAATATTCATTCACTATATTTAAATCAATGTATTGCATTTTTTGTTTTTTTTATATATTTTTTTGCTATATCAATTTTGTAAATAAGACATAAAGTCTTGATTAACAAAAATAAATTGTAATAAAAAAAAAAAAAAAACTATATTTAACATGAGGTAGTAGAGGTTAATTTCACTGACAGAAAACACAGAATGACAGTTGACAATCGAATGTAATGAATGAAATCATTGATAGTATCATAAATGACTACCCTGAATAAACTACATGGATAGTTTATAAATAATAATTCTGAATTAGAATGAAAACGGGATAAAAAGTATTTCATATGCTTCTCCTGTCTCTAAACTACCTCCTTGCCACCAATAGATACTTAGCCACAGCAACGCGTGGCCGGGCTAGCTAGTATATATATATATATATATATATATATATATATATATATACACTAGAGATGGGTAACTCACTCCGGAGTTATCACTCAGATACAACTCCTACCTCGGAGTGAATCCGAGTGGAGTTGTCTCGCCGGATTTGTCATATCCGACTTCCCTAAACTGGTTATTTTTTCAATGGTTGTTGTGATTGAATTGTGAAGGACCAATTGTAAAATACTATAATTTGTAACTAGTATATTTTCTTATGTTAATAACAAGTTATAAGGGTATTCACAATAATTTAATATGTTTTTTGATAACGTATTGATTGATTTTATTTATTATGTGATTATCGACTGATGATTTTGTTTATATATCAATATAACCGCATGCTTTGATTGGCGCGAAACACTGGTACTAAGGAAGCTGTCGCTTTCTCGTCTTCTAAACAGGCAGTTTTATGACGTTTTAGGTATACGTTTTTCCAGAAAATACAAAAATATTACTTCAAAGATAGAGAACAAGAAATTGTGTTCAAGCGTGAATAACTCCAAAGTATAATTTATTGAATAGTAAGGGGTATATTTCTAACTACGACAATCTTTGGCCGTGAATTTGGACACATTTAGTCGGTTTTTTCTATAGCCTGAAATAACAATACTTTTTAGAGTGTAAAATATATCAGTGACGTCAATGTATTTAAGCAACAAAAAATATTTATATTATATTATTTTTTACACAATTTATATAATTGTATATAAAGTAATAATATGCTAATCGAACTATCTGATATAATATTAATTCTCGAATAGAAAAGCAGAAAAAAAAAATTAGAAAGCAGGAGAGCATTATTCGATAAAATATTTTATGATAAATGTTTTGCTTTTATTACAAAGTTTACTACATTATTTTTAAATAAAATTATTC